ATACAGCAGAAGATTATGTCAAGAGATACACAGAAATAGTTGATAAAATTCCCCCAGAGGAGTTTATTTCCTAATAGTAGGACTCATCTCAAGATTGCTTCTGATGGTTTGTAAAAAATTTCTTCCTCTGTGCCAGGTTGCTGTGTATGTATAAGTTATTTCAAGTACTTTGTGATTCCAAACAAATTTGGAGAATGGTGGTTTTTTTTCTATTTCTGTGAAAAATATTTTGATATATATTGTTTGTGTGTAGTATGTAAATTAAACAGTATTAATCATTCCAATACATGAACCTGGGAGGTTTTCCATTTGTCACGTCTTCTTCAATTTATTTCATCATTGGCATTATGAAAATCAAAAGGATGTTGAATTTTATTAGACTTTTTTCTGTATCTAAAGACATGAACATAACTTTTATCATTCATTCTTTTGATGTGATGTAGTATGTCTTTTTAATTTGAATTTATTGGAACATCCTTAGATACATCTGTCTTATCCAAGGATGATGCTGTGCAATATTTTGATAGTGATTTGATGTTATTTGATAGTATTTTTGACAATTGTAGTATGTATGTTCATCAAGAACATTAGTTTGGATTTTTTGTTGTGTCTTCATCTACTTTTTACCATGATAGAATGTCATGGTCTCATAGAGTAAGTTTGGAAGTATTCTTTTCCTTTCAATACATCATATTTGGTTGAAAAGGATTGATGTTAGTTCATCTTAAAAATGTGATACAATTTACTACTGAAGTCGTAGAGTCTTTGTCTTTTCCTTTGTAAGACTATTTTATTACTAAGTTGATTTCATTACTTGCTTTTGGTTTTTTCAGTTTTTTTATGTTTCAATTTGAGTAGGTTAGATGTGCTCAGAAATTTTTTCCAATTACTTGGCATAGAGTTATTTGTGATAATCATTAGTGATTCTTTGCACGTGTATAGTATCTATTGTAGTGTCTGTGTTTTCATCTCTGTTTGTATTTATTTGGATTTTCTCTCTTTTTTCTTGATAGTCTGGATAAATGCTTTTCAGGAATAGTTTTTCAAAACTAAAACTTTCCAGTTCGTGGAAATAAAATGTGAGTGCTTATATTGTTTGACATGTGTTACATGCCTGTAACTTGTAATCTGAGCAACTATTTCAAAGATAACAATATGCAATATAGTGACCATTGTTAATTCTCTGTCATCTTGTTTTGAAATCCCACATTATTTTTATTGCTGTTTTGTTTTTACTGTTCTGTTTTCTGTTAATCACTTTAAAATAAAAAGTTTAAAAATAAAAACTTCATTTAATTGATTTTTTCATTAATCTTTTGTAGCCTTTGTTTATTTCAGCTCTGATTTTAAACTAGGTTTGATTTTGGTTTTGGTTTTCCTGAACCTCTAGTTTCTTAACTTTCATCATTAAGTAGGCTATTATTGAAATTTTTCAGGTTTTTAAAAAGACATTCATTGTAATCTTTTTCTTCTTGTTCTTGTTCTTGTTCTTGTTCTTCTTCCTCCTCCTCCTCCTCCTCTTCCTCTTCCTCCTCATCCACCTCCTCCTTCTTTTACATCTCCTCCTAATCCTCCTCCTACTCCTTCTTCTTCTTCTTTTTCCTTTTTGTCAGTGTTTGTCATTTAAACCAGTAATTGGTGCTTTTTCCCTCAGTCACATCTCAGCTCTTTTTTATCTTAAAGCAAGTCTTGTTAAATCGCTGAGCTGTCTAAGCTGAGTTTGAACTTGTGACCTTCCTGCCTCAGCCTCCAGAGTGCTGCGATTGCAAGCTTGCAAAACCACACCCAGTTCATAAACTTTGTTTTACATAACAGATTTTCTATGTTATGGCTCCATTTTATTTTGTTTTAAAATCTTCCTGTTGATTTCTTCCTTGAATCCATGATCTTTTAAGGACATGTGTAAGTTCAATGTATTTGTAAAATTTCTACATCTCTTGTTTTTTATGTTCATTCTTTTATAGTTGAGGAATTTAAAGGCTATTTTTTCAATTTTTCAAAACTGCTAAAGACTTGTGCACTAAAACATGATGCAAACCTGTAATCCCAGCACTTAGGAGGTTTTGGCAGGGGAATTGGCATGATTTTAAGGCTAATCTTGGCTAAACAGTGAGTCCAGACTAGCGTGAACATCCAAAATCCAGTCTCAAAAGAAATTAATAAAATATGGTCTTGGACAGAGAATGTTCTATGTGCTAATGAAACAAATGTGTACTCTAGAGTTGCTGAACAAAGTGTTTTATAATTGCCTGCTATGTCAATTGGGTCTATTATGTAGCTTAAACTGTCTCACATTGGTGTAACTCTCAGGCCAGCTGCAAATTTCTAAGAGGGCAAAGCTTAAAACTTATTTCCTGTGCAGTATCATATCATTTATTATCAATATCAGTTCTAATTTATATTTTGGTTTATGTTTGGTAAATCAATTATATACAGATTGTTTATTTGCAGATTACTTAATTATTTTCAGTAACAGATAACTAAAACACTTTTTAGGATATAAAATTTAAATTTTTATTTCTTCATTAGTATAAACCCATGAAATGATCAAGATAGTGTCAACTTTCAGCACCATGAAGAAAACTTCCTTCTTCCTTTCACAGTCAATATCCTCCCATGTGTAAAGAGCCTTCTAATCATTGTCATAACTGATTACAATTGCATGATTTCTACTTCATCTAATAGAACCAGAGACTGCATTTTTATATGATGCTTTTCACTTTACTATACGAAAGAAGTGTATCAAACAACACTAATTTATGGTGTCTTACATAGTAGTGGCTCATTCTTTCCTGTGTTGCCCTATGTTATTCAACAGTATGAACAGTTCTATATTATTCAACAGATGAAATTCTTATTACCATTACCCAGCTGATAAATACTAAGATTTTTCAGTTTTTGTCTATGAAGAACAATGTTTTTATGTCTAAGGATATAGCTGAGTGATAGAGCACTTGTCTAGCATGCATGATACTGTTGGTTTAATTCCTAGTACTGCAAAAAAATATGAACTTTCTAGTCAATAACATTGTATTCTAAGTTGGACTATGTACTGATATAAAAAGAAGCGAATAAACCAGGAAATGCTGTGATAATGAACAAATCCAACTCTTAATTAACTTAGACTAGTAAAGGGTTTATTGCATATATTTGTGTTTATTTTATGTAATTATATTCATCTAAAGTAAAGCATCTAAGAATATTATCATCTATGACTTTTTTAGCATAAGGAATCAGTTTTGACAGTTTTATACTCAGCACCGAATTGCTTAGACATAGAATATAAATTTTTGAGTTTTAGTTGTCTTCTCACATACTAAGGCTTAATCTCTGACAGCAAAGTTTAAATTTTGCATAAAACATAGCATACAATTTTTAGGTATAGAGACAGGAAATTGATTTTGAAAAGATGCATATTATTGTCATAATACAACATGATATATATGCAAATATTTTAGCTACATATATACCATTTTGTACTATTGTGAGCACCTTATAAAGACTAAAGAAAAATTGCCAGGGAAGTGGGTAAAAATATTGCTCATGTTTTTAAATATTCAAGTGGTTTACTGGTCTCAGGATTTGCTACCACCCCCACAGTACTTTGAGTTCCACATCCACTTAATATTGCAAGTTTGATGTCACGTGGCCAATTGCTAAACCTCTCTTAAATTTTATTGTCTACCTTTATACCAACTGGTAGAGTTGAATAGATAAATATAGGAATAAGGGGCTGGGGATTTAGCTCAGCAGCATAAGCACCTGCCTTGCAAGCAGGCAGTCGTGAGTTCAATCCCTGGTTCCAATAAAAATGAAAAAGACAAAATAAATATAGGAATCTCTGCAGTAATCACACACATATGACCATATACAATTTCATATATGTCAATTTAATAGTAATCAGTTGAAGCAATGAAGAGATTTTCTCAAGGACTAAAATGAAAAGGTTAACTTTTCTGGTGAAACAAGAAACTACACATGTTTCTGTCTGGAAATTATTCTTTAATTTTCAAATCAATCATAGGTCTCTTGTTGACATCTTGTTTGAACTCAGTTCAGGTTGCTTAGATTACTGTCATCCTGCCCGGCTATCCCTCTGCCCACACCCAGGAGAGATATCTCACTTATCAGAATCCCACTTCCACTGTGTGGAAGACCTGTGAAATATTTTCACTCTTACTGCTAGGCTTCATGTCCCTTACCTTCCTAGAACACAGAGAGCTCCAAACAGGTTTCTGCCGGTGCTTTGGACATGAACCTATTCTGTGTGTCCTATTGTTATTCCTTATACCGAAATTCATCCCACTTCATTTTTTGGCCAGGCTGTGTGCCTAGCTACGATCATGCTAAGAAAACAACTAAAAAGTAAACATTGACTATGAAATTAAAGACAGAAAAGTAGGTCAACCAGTTGTAAGTTTAAAACTGAAGAATAAATTCTGGTAATCTATTACACAATGGGATAATTATAGACAATGATAATTTCCTGCGTATCTCAAAAAAGGTAAGAGAAAAGATTTGGAGTGTTCTCACTTCAAAAATTGGTAGATATTTCACAAATTAGATATCCTTATCTTCAATTTGATTATTTTATAATGTGTGTATCTATAGAAACATCATATGACACATATGACTATATAAAATTTTATATATGTCAATTTAAAAATAAGAAATAAATTTTTAAAGTACAAACAAATGTAACTCTGAACTTCAAGATTCTATTGCTTAACAAATGGATTACATGAGTATAACAAATTTAAACACAAAAATAAAATGAACCAACCACAAGAATTATTTTATCTTGAGAAAGGAAAAAAAGCTTTGCTAATAAAAAAAAAACATAATTTTTCCCAAGACTTTCAATGTCTGTATGACAAACAGAGACAATAACTACATCCACGCTGAAACAAGGCCTGGAAGTTGATTTCTATATCAAATTCATGAAGAAGCTTCGATCTAAAGAGGAAAGGATGAATGGGAAGATTTGAGAAGGTCTCATTCTAACAGGAATCACATGCCCAGTACACTGAACACTTTCCTACACTAAGGATATTTCTGACAGATCCTTTTATCTCCTGATTCCTTAGGCTATAAATGAAGGGATTCAGCATGGGTGTGACTATGGTGTATAACACAGCCACAATGACATCCTTTTCATTAGTATTATTGGAAGAGGGAAAAAAGTAGAGCCCAATAATTGTTCCATAGTACAGAGAAACTACACAGAGGTGAGAGCCACACGTGGACAAGGATTTGCAGATTCCTTTAATGGAGGGAGCTCTCAGGATGGTGGCCCCAATGTAACCATAAGACACCAGAATGCACATGAAAGGCAGAATAGTGAACACCAGTCCTACGGTGAGAACAGCCAGTTGGTTGATAGTGGTGTCTGAACTAGATAGTTTAAGTAAGGTGGTGAGGTCACAAAAGAAGTGGTGGAGAATGTTGTTTTTAAAGAAAGAGAGATGGGCTAGAAGGATGGTGTGTAGAAGAGCATTGGCAGAAGATAAGACCCAGGGCACAGTTACTAGAAAAAAGCAGCGTCTCTGGCTCATGATGATGGTGTAGTGTAAAGGGTGACAAATGGCCACATATCTGTCATAGGCCATTGAGGTGAGAAGGAGGTTGTCAAGACCTGCAAACAACAAAAAAAAATATACCTGACAAATACACCCAGTGTAAGAGATGAACTGACTCTGCATCAGCATATTGATGAGCATCTTTGGAGCCGTGACTGATGAGAAAGAGATGTCGGTGAGAGCCAGGTGGCTGAGGAAGAAGTACATGGGGGTGTGGAGGTGAGAGTCCAGTCTGATGAGCAGGATGATGAGCAGGTTCCCCAGCACTGTGGTCAGGTACATGACCAGGAACAGGGTGTAGTACAAGCCTTGCTCTTCCAGCTGGATGGGGAGCCCCAGGAGGATGAATTCAGACACACTGCTCTGATTATCTACCATCATACTTTTCTTCCACTCTTTTGCTGGAAATTAAAAAGAGATGGACTTGAGAAAGAATGAGAATTCGTTTTGACTATTAAATAGTGGAAACATGATTGTGAACCACTCTATCTGTGCATGTTAACCTAATATGCGTCTTTCAATTTTTGCCACACTAATGCATTAGTGATATTCTGAATACTGAACATTATTTGTGTGCCTAGAAAAACACTAAACCTCTTTGCAGAAACCATGAAACTTCTGAATGATCCTCAAAGCAGATCAGGTTCAAGCCTTGAGAGGTCCATAAGATCATGATGGAAACCTAACATCAGAGGTTAAGTTTCAAAGGCAATTCAGTAACCAATTAATAATAAAAACTAGAACGCACTTCTAATCACCTGTTGACTCTTATTTTCTCCCATGCTCCTGAAGCACACTTTAATTAGTGTTTTATTTCTATGCACTGTGTCAAGGTTGACAATCTACTGATCTCTGAGATGAAAATATCTGGAAACTTGGAGGAAATAACATTTAATAGCAGATTGAGAGAAGGGCATTAAGGCATGGGTCTATGATACCATAGTGATACACCTTGAAATAATCCACCCATTCACTCTTTTGAGATGATTTTATTTGCTCAAAATATTTAGTCTTCTAGCATCATCACGTCTGAAGAAATTTTCATGGAATGTGAGAAATAGTCTGTATCTAATGTGAATCCTGCCCCTTGTGTATTAACCCAGCTGAAATCAAATAATCTGTACTGAATTTCACAAATGTCAAGAAATAGTTTCCGTTTTTATTTATATCCAACATCTATCAATGGAAGTTTTTGTAAATCTCTGTCTAGGATTAGCAATAAATTTTGTTTTTCTGGTTCATATTCTAATTTTTTACCAAAAATTCTTACATCATATTTTCTTTGTTACTTTTTTCAACATTTCCTAGACTTTGCTAATCATTCTTGTCCCTTTGTCTTGCAGGTCACTTAGAAGCTGTGTAAACAATCCATGTTCTATATAAAAACTAATTTCATTTTAAGGCCTTTGTGTTTGCAAAGCTTAGTATTTTATTCATTACTGATTTTGTGGCTTAAGTAAAATTTACATTAATATATCAATTAAGCCAATTTGATTGAAATTATCTTTAAGTTTCTGTATTACTCAACCCACTATGTTAAAATTCTTGTTAGTGTTATTTATGTTGATACATAATATGGATTATATTTTCAAATATTTTTTTCATTTCCATATTAGTTTATCACAGTGAAAATGCTAGTTACCTTTTTAGATAGTTATAGTTTCTTCTATCTAATTGCTTCTTGTTTCCAACAATATTGCAGTTCTAACATTGTTCATATGTCATTTGCAAATTAGCAGATTCTTCTGTCAGAAAAAGTCTTAGAAATGGAATTAGGTAGGATCTATTTCATGACTTTAATAGACTGTCAAATTGCAAGAGGCCAAAAGTGATGAAGACGACTTTCTTTAAAAGCAAACTTTGAAATGAGGGGTATAAACGACATCAGCCATTACCCTTGTGGCTATTTGATCTCCATTCTCAGTGAACAGCTCTCACTCTGCAGAACATGCTTCTTCTTCTATCTTTAATCACTATAAAACCTTTCTAACACAAAGAAATAAAAGTAAACTTTTACATAGAAACCCTAATATAAAAAGCTGCCAAATGAAGATTATAAAAAAGGGTGCATTTCTCAAGTCTTTGGAGAGAACAGGGTGATGGTAGGAAACAAAAGATAACACCAAACTCAGCCTTAGGAAAGAAATGTATGACAGAGTTACCAAGGAATCAGGGCGCAAAAGGCTTTTTTGTGCTATCATAGAAAGTTTCTAATTAATTGTCAGAGAAATAACATAACTCAAAAACATAACTAAATTTTTAAAATGTTTTGCTGTCTACTAGGGAGAGATTAGGGAAGAGTATCAAATCTGGATGAGATGTTATTGGAGTAATTTAGGTACAAAATAATAATATATGCTTACAGTTGAATTGTGACTGCAGAGACAAAAAGAATTACAGAGAATATGGCATAAAATTGTAAATTTGGAAGAGAATCCAATAAACCCCATTGCTTATTGAACATAACCAAAGACAAATATATATTTCCATTAAATGTAAGATCAATTTGAGATAGGCTATTTTACATGGAGATTTGGTTTTGATCTATCATCTGAAGACTTGGATACATACCCAATAAAAGGCCAATTTCTCTTCATGGACTGTGTATCATATGGTGATGCGAGATGAGGTAGAATCTAGGAGTCAATAGCATATACTCAGTGCACACACATCACAACACATACAATACATTAGTGAATGTAAAGTCTGCTTCTTCTCTGGCACAGTGCCTTAGATACTGAGCCCAGATCCCATCAGCCAGAAAGTAGCAAAAGTTCTTTCATTCCTCACTAGATTATGCAGAATGCAGTAAAACAGGTGGGTTCTGCAACAAGCAGAAGAGTCACCAGTTCTAGAAAAAGCATAGTAGACATGTGTATACTTCTTTGTTCACAGCTCTTGAAAAATCAGTGTGCGTTTTAATTTTTCAAACTATAGAGAAGGCCCCAAGGACAATTCCTCCTCCCCAGTTCCAAATTAGAGACAAATCAGGTATCACTGCTTCATTGCTTGTGGCTCCCTTGAGAAAGAACAATGTGTTGAAACAGACATCAGATAGTTGATCCTTGAGGGAATAATGAATTACTGCAAGACAACTTTTAGGAATTTGGTGATTTACAGAGCTTCCTTAGATACTTGGCCTACTTTGAGGAAAATGTATTTCAGAGTATGTCACAAATGCAGCCAGAGCTTAAATATGATAACCACGCTCTGGTATTTGGACATAATGCTATTTCAAAAACACCAGAAATACTCTAATATTTTCCTTCTCAGATTAAAAGAGTGAAGGAAATTATATTTTAATATCACCACCTGTCTCAGGGGAATATAGTTCCTAAACATATCAGTCTCTTCCCTAAAAGATATGGAGTTGGTTTTTCATAGTTTCTGGGTAGAAAATGAGTATGATTGACTTATCATTAAAGGTAATAAATATTAAAACAATTTTAATTGATTCTGGTTCTTTTAAAAATCAAACTGTACTTGAAGTTTCTATTTGAGTTAATAAATTCTGTGAGATATTTAGCCTTTACAAATGCTGTCTGAGTCCTATTGATCATCTGTGGCCCTGATAATTAAGCTACAATTGATCTGACTTTATCATTGAAGTTAAAGGGTGACAAAACTTTCTCTCTGAATCATAAGGCTATCTTTGCATGCCTCTCTTCCCTTCATTATGGTAAAAATAAATAATTCCATGAATCCAATATTTCTAACTTGATTAAACAAAATATGGAAACATTATCAATAAGTTGAGAAATAACCTTACTGCTTACTCAAGTACCTGATACCATTTCCTTGACGGCCTTTATCTTGATCCTCTTCCACCACAAGTTTATCTTATCTTTATTAATCCTATTCAAAATTTCCCCCTGCAATAGCTTATTATTTAACAAAAAATGCTCAGGCAGAAACAACTTAACTGAAAGACAGTCTAACAGTATAACAAGGAAGAGGCTACAATTTCAGATGTGCTAATAACCACATAATAACTAATGTAGTTAAGTAATGGATCATTTATGTTCTGTTGTGTATAACAACATTGGAAAATTAGGTCTGAGAGTTCTTTTTAGTAGTGTGCATTGTTTGGAAGTTCGCTTCATTTTTGCAGTACTAGAAATTGACTCAGGGACTTTCTGCACACAGATCCAGAGCCTTTTTATTTATGTATTTAAAAGGTGACCATATGTCAAAATATAAACACACATCTATAAACACTCAACAACAGTATAAATTCATATATATACTTAAGTTCTACGTATTCATATTAGGATTTGATTTATTCCATGTCAGCATTTTTGTAAAGGTTAAAACAAAATTTCTAGCAAAATGGTAAAGTAATAACGAGACATGAAAAATAATCAAATCTTTTAGAGATGTCGACATTTGACTTCATGTCACCTAAATACTGCCAGCTTAATAGCACTGGGCCAATTACTAAATGTCTTTTAAATTTTAATTTCCACCTTTGGAACAAATATTGGGATGAAAAAACATTAATAAATACAGAATTATATGTCATAATATTCAGTCTGTACCAATGAATTTAAGTACCTTGCCTTGACCAGAAGTAGTTTCACAAGGACTAGCGAAGAAAACTTTTAATATTTCAGATGGAAATGTGACACTGAATTTATTTATTCAAGCAGAGAAGTATGTATTTTCATTCTAAAGTAAAACGGTCACATATGTTTAAGTCCTACTGAACTCAGTTCAGTTTGCCTAGACTCCTGACTTCCCACCTGGCCCTTCAGTCCACACTCAAAAAGGCTAAATATCTTTGTTAGAATGCACTGAACATGCACAATCAAAACCTCTCCCGAATTCCTCTTCAATAGCTCCACGCTCAAGAATCAACAAAGGAAAAAAAAAAAAGAATCAGCAAAAGGGTCTATACCCCATTAAAACTTTCTTCATGGCCAAGATAACTTAGCAGAGTTAAAAAAACAACTCACTGAGTAAGAGAACACCTTTGTTAGTTATTCTTCTAATAGGATAGTGATATGCAGAATATATGAAAAAACTTAAAAATTAACCTCCATAAAATATAGAACCTGGTGAAAAAGGGGAAAGTGCGCAGAATAGATACTTCTCAAAACGAGATACTATAATAATATAGAAGCAAAAGGGTGGGAAGGAAATGAGCTGATGTCACCCACAGGAGGCTTCAGCCATGGAGGCAGCAGTTAGAGGACCAGGAGACGTTGAAACTCCTTAGAGTTGCATTTGCCCCTGGCTAGTTCGAGGATGCTGCACTGTATCCTCTGGCTGAGGCTGCTGCCCAGCTGTGGTCACATTATGTGTTTCATTTCTCCTGGGCACAGCACAGCAGAGTTGCCAACAACCCCTGACCTGATTGAGCATGAGGCCAATGCCCAAAG